TTATATTCGTTCTAATGTAAATGGGGTAACAATATTTACGATTGTATTATTATGTTAGTCCATTACCTTGGTCTTAAACCATTGGTCCCGGTCCTTTGGAGAGCATATGTGGGACTGTGTAACCAACACGTAGAGGCCATTTGGTAAGGGATACACGACAGCATCTCATGATATACCCGGATATTATAATTGTTTATATATCACTGTGAAGTAATATTTACTATTATTTTCCTGTATTAAGCACTACAATAACAGAATGTAAGCACTGGCTTATCCTGCAATTAGTTACATTTAGGATGGTATAACTCGAAACGGAAAAGTAATTGAGATGAGTCGTAATGAAGAGAAATGTTCTCCATAAAAAGATCTTTCAATTGATATATAACTTATCCTTATTGGAGGTGGGGCAATTTCCCATACATTTCTGCCCATTGTCCTTTTAGATTATCTACTAATGTTAATATTATTAAATAATATGAGTTAAAAAGAAAAATACTTCTAACAGGAATAGATATTTAAATCCACAAATTTTTTTAAATTATTTCAATATTTGTTTTGCAACGCGTTCTTTCTTAGTGCCGGATTATAATGAAGCGGAAAGCATAGCGTTTTATTCAAGCCAATAGGCATGCGTTCATAATAAGGCGTTACATAGCGATGAAGAGAGCGTTGCTGCAGCGGTATAGCCCGAATCAAACTTAAGGAAGCGGTGACCAGCGCGGTTTATTACGCGGCCGAGCTATTTATTCACTGCATAAACAGCTTTGTTAATCGCTCAAAGATTTCCAAGAACAAATCGGCATACAGGTATTCATTGATGGACTACAAGATGTAGAAATGCAGCAAGCCCTTCGTCTACAACATCACAAGACGCTGAGGAAGAAACTGATTGCAGCCCAGGAATAGGAAGCGGTAAAACTCATATGCAGATATTCTTGCGCAAAAGTGAGGGAAATTAAATCCCATAAAAGTGGGGAGGCCAATCTAATGCTATTCCCCAACCTACCCTCTCACAGATCCTAAATATCCTACGAAATGTGTTCCCTGAAGAAGCACAACCCGTCATAGATTATTTTGAGGACACGTGGATCGGTCGTCCAAATCGAAGATATCGACGTCCACCTCGTTTTCCTTTAAATATACGGAATTGTCACGAAGGTACACTTGAAAAACTAACAACAGCGTCAAAAGGTTGGCACAGAGGTTTCCAAGAGTTACTTTCGGCGAATCATCCTAGCATTTAGAAATTTATAGATGCTATCAAAAGACAACAAAGCCTTAACGAGTTGAAAATAGAACATTTTTTATCTGGCATTGAACCTTCAATGGGTAATCGTAAATATCGCGATTGTGCGGCAAGAATAGGGCGCATAGTGCAAAATTTTGAGTACAACGTAAATATTGAAGGATATGTTCGCAGTCTTGCACACAACATTGGTTATTAAGTGTACATACAGGGTGGCCCATTAGTGTGTGGAAGTGCAATAGCTTACTTTGGATAAAATATACAAAAAATATTTAAATAAAAGTTGTTATATTTGCGCAGGTACACATTTCTTAAATAATTCAGCCTAAGCGAGACAACATGAAGTAAGCTTTTTTTAAATAGGACACCCTGTATATTTGTTTACCATCGAATTCAGCCTAAAATTCTGCATATACACCTAGTATATTATTTTTCCATCTTATAAAACTATTTTATCCCTTCAAATTATGTCTGTACAAGGTACTCTCTAAAATTAAGAAAATTGCATTTTTAGTTTATGATTTAAAAATATTCATGTTTGCACTTCCACCCACTAATAGTATATTTGTAAATAAAGTTAAATAAATTTATTCTAAGTATAAACACATTTTATGGTGCATTTAATTATTTTGAATTTGTAATAATTTAATAAATTTTCTTTAAATAACTTATTTTCTTATTTCGAGGAATTGTCTTTTCGAGATATTGTTATTCGAGTAACTAGGCATTCGAGGAATTGTCCATTTGAGGAACAATTTTTCGAGCAATTGATTTCGAGCAATTTTCTTTCGAGCAATTGTTTTCGAGGAATTTTCCGTCACCCCCTACGAAATATGCAATGAAATAGCCAAAATCAGGAGATGCTTGAATTGCGGAAGAATCGGGCATATTCAATGAACCTGTAAAAACATGGCTCATTCTATAAATCAAGAATGAGGGAATGAAAACGGAAAATCATATAAATCAATCTTCCGAAGCCCGTCACAAAGTCTAACAAGAAATAATTACAGCAGCTATGCATCCCGAAGAAGCCAATCACCCACACCAAGCCGGCTTTCTAGCAATAACCAGATAGTAGAGCATCGAAAAAGTCTCCATAGCAACGCAGACCTTCTCTCCAGGCTACCCTGTTTAGAAGGACATTTCCGGTACAGTAAAAGGCTCGAAGAACTAGAGGAACCGGTTAATAAAGTTACTCTTCGGGCAACCACTATCAAGCCAGAGGGCGACGAAGAAGAAATCACCCTTGAAAGCCTGAGAAAGGAACAGAAGAAAGACAATGACTTGAAGGTTGTCGAGAATGGCTCAAACATAAAGTTACACCTACTTGGCAAGAGATAGCCAAATATAGTGGAACTGTAAAAGGGTACTGGACTCAGTGGAATTCCCTGTATCTTTATGATGGCCTAATGCACCGGAAGTGGGAAAGCCCCGATGGAGTACATGTAGCCTGCCAAGTGGTACTGCCGAAATCACATGTTAGAAGTATGTTGGAGGAGCTTCATTGCAGCCGTTCGCGAGGACATTTTGACACTTAAAGGACACTGGCACGAATTCGTGATAAATTTTATTGGTTCAATTGCCGACGGGAAATAAGGGATTAATATAAAAAACGTAATGTATGGAATGTCAGGACAAAGGCCTACGGATTTGCTCGGAAATGACTGAAAGCCAACTTTTAGATTTTAGATTACTATACTTAACTCTAATCTATAATACGTGCTAAGCCGCGGGCAAGAGCTAGTTTATATATAAATATGACTGTTTTGCCATTTGAGTTCAAGTCGAAATACTGTGGTGTTAAGATATATGCTGTCAAAGTAAATTAGTAAACAAGTATTTAATACATAAATTAGCGTTGTAAATTAAGTTAATAAATAAATTAATGAATGTAGTGTAAATAAATTAAATAATAAACGGTTTAAAATAAATGAACAAAATTGCAGAACAGAGTACTCTGAAAAACTCAGTTCAAGTTTTGTGTAGGTCCTGAAGCTCTGTAGCAAAGATAACAGAGATATAAGCAGTCACTGATAACATATTGTATTCACGATGCTAAGATTGAGTCAACAATTATAACACTCTAGTTGTAGGGATGGGATGAGGCGACGAAAGATGAGAAGTAAGAGAAGGGATAAAGAGAAGAATTTTATGCAGATACAACTTATTTTTGAATGAATGTATAAGCCGCTGTGCGCTTATAATAAACAACGTAAATATCCATGCCGCCGGTGTAAGCCCTGTTGCCACTTCTAACCTAACATCACTAGGTTTTGGAATTTATTGAAAATTATTACATCCAATTTAGTAAAATTACATCTAATTTAGTTATTTTTTTTTTATTTTTTGGGTTCAGTTGCAATAAAATAGGTTGAACTATTTTAGCTTTTTTAATATATGTAAATAATTTTGTAAACAAAACGAGAATAATGAAATAGGCATGTGACAACAGCGGATATTATACCCACCTGTGTCCCTTAGAATATGTCTTATTCAGGACCGCGCGATATTTGTTAGTAGTTACATCTCCTCGTTATCTCTAATCTGTAGCGTGTAGAGGGTGGGTTACCCCACGGCACTTTGACCTCAATAGGCCCATTGTGCATCCTCCGAAGTTGATAGGCACCTCCTAGCTCGTAAGCGAGTCTACAGATTTGATGTAACTGATAACGTCGCAAGAGGTACTTTTCTTATATCTAATAAATGAAAGCGTCGGGCAATCGTAGAGGATATGCTCGATGGTTTAATATTTTTGATGGCACCCTCTATAGAGTGCGGATTCTGACAGCCCCATGATATGGAAATGCTTCCGTACTTGGCAATGATGGCCAGTCAGAATGCTTGTAATCAGGCGCAGATTCTGAATATCTACACATGGTCAACCCGCTGTTATTGTGTTCGAATGAATTTCTTATTGTCATTAGACTCCATTAGAGACTGAAGTCGAGATTTTCATAAGGACGAAACCGGTCCAAGAATGACTTTCCTTAGTAAGCAAAATCAAAGGTAAAGTATTGAAAATCATTTTCAATCTCAGCTTTTTTCTTTTGACGTAATTCAATGCCTTTGAGGTATTAGCCAAAGGAGGAGTTGTTGTCAAAAGAGAAACGGCCGCCCATATTATTGTAACAAATGACTGAGATTATTTTGATTGTATTTTGAAGTGGACGTGCCTACGTCTAGTCGGAGGAACTACATATTTAAATTACATTAAAAGATAAAAACAGTTTACGAACAAACAATTTAAAAATATTTTATAAAATCAGGACAAAAACAAAATTAAAAGTAAAATGGAGTTTTAATTTGGACGCGATAAAAATATTCTATTTAAAATAATACATATTTTTTTCTATTAGTTTGACCAACATTGTAGTGGAGCACATTGATGTGATAAAATGTTTTTCCGGATTGGGTATCATTATTACCTCAGCAGTTTTTAGTAGTGGAATATGTTGAAGTCTAAAGCTGATTTTATTGTAAGTATAGGTCAATTTTACTAAACATTTTTGTGGTAATTTTTTGAGTATCTCTCCTGTGATCAGATCGAACTCGAAAGCTTTTTTTACCATATTTATGTAAAAGAGCGAATAATTTTTCGATTTTGTTTATCAATTCAATAAACAACATTCCAAGAAACAATAAAGCATTCAACTATACCGATATTTTAGTACCATACGTGTTCCATTGACCTAGTTTTAGGGTAATTATCATGTTTTTCGTAGCATTAGTAAATAATAATGATATCCATACTTACATGTTCCTCTACTTTCTTCTATATCTAGAATTATGTTAGACGCTCCATTCTCCACCTCGCACAGTCCTGAAAATGAAAGCGATAATCAAAATTACTTTCTTGGTATAATAATTAAGGTAGTTTTTAACTTTCTTTTGTTCAGTGAAATAAAAATATTTATTGATTTTTCTTTACGAGCATTGCGAAATTTTGTTTTTCCACCTATTTTTTGTAGTAATATTATTTTTGTGTTAGTCTTTGATCGCATCATATAAAACGGTGAATCGGTCGTACCAATATTTTTATTACAGCGATTGCGAATAAATTTTCGAGTTATGTAGGACGATGCGGCCAAACCTGACTAGCAGGTATTCTAGAGGTTTCTCGTTATCTCACTTGGAGGAAATAGTTACATTATTGACAGCACAGTTTTTATGATGATTATACGTCGCCAACGCCAACTATAAACGCATGTTCTAGATAACAACCTAGAATGAATTGACTTTGTATGTACATGAATGAACGAACGAACGAGAGAAAAAATTGTTGCTAGACACATTGTCTGCAGATGCTTAAATAATATTGTTTAGATTTTTTTTTGTCAATATGAAGAACTAGATCATGTTTATTAATAGTTAATTTGTAGTTAAATGGATTCACAGATGTGTAACGACTATAAAGTCACCGAGTTTCTTATTAAATGCGTACCTACTTTTAAATAGGTGGCATATTTAAGATATTTTGTCTACAACCACCCCAGTAAATCGCCTATTATGTACCGTTTTGTTTATAAGTAAATACATCATTACAGATACTGTTACGTAATGAAATTCAAAACTATTACGTAATATATATATATATATATATATATATATATATATATATATATATATATATATATATATATATATATATATATATATATATATTTTGGGGACCTAATGGAACAATTTAAACCTTCATCAATATGGGCAATATATTCCATGTTAAGGACCGTCATTTCAATAAAAAACAACGTGAATATTGAAACATACCCAAAATTAAAGGCATTCCTAAAAAGGCAATCGGAAGGTTTTAAAAGCAAAAAATCAAAAATTTTTTCTTCTGATGAAATAAGTAAATTTTTAAATGAAGCTCCTGATTCACAATACTTATTATCTAAAGCAATTTTCCTTCAGTTAATTTAGTATTGGCTAGTGATTTTACTTTTCAATATTTTATTTAAGGTGATTCTAATTATTGGAGTTTGTGGCGCATGTAGGAAACAAGAATTAAAAAATTTACAAATCAAGGATATAAGAGATGTTGGTGACATACTGATTATTGAAATACCTGATTCAAAAACTTAGATAAGCAGATCTTTTGTGATTAACGGAACCTTTTATCAAATATGCAAACAATATATGCAACATCGCCAGCAAGTGCAAAATCTTGATACAAATCAATTTTTCATAAACTATCAAAAAGGAAAATGCACCAAACAAGTGGTCGGTATAAATAAAATTGGAAATGTACCAAAACAAATAGCGCAATATTTAAACTTGCCCAATCCCAATTTATACACCGGCCATTGTTTAAGAAGAACTTCTGCCACAATTTTAATTGATGCAGGTGGTGATTTATTCGCATTAAAAAGGCATGGAGGCTGGAAATCCTCAACGACTTCTGAAGGATATGTTGATAATTCATTAAATAATAAAACTTTAACGGCTCATAAAATTATCCAGTCAATTGAAAAAACAGATTTTCCACCTAGCACATCAGAAATAAATGAGAATATTTCTACCTATAATATCCTTCAAACCATAAATAACAGCAATCAAATAGAGTCTAATTTCTCTGCACCATCTACATCATCTCTTTCAGTGCCATCTACTTCTTATAAAATACCTCAAAATACTAACGAACCCATAATTATTCAAAATTGACAAAATTTTACCGTTAATTATTATTCTAAGAATCAATGATATGTTAATGAATTATTGTATTTAATAAATGTTATAGATTATGAAAGCTTTTTTATTATGAATGTATGAATGTGGTTGTAGATAAAGTATAGTACATAACTCGAGTTGTAAGAGCAATTACATGCTCGTAGAATTACTACACTCGCCGCTAACGCGGCTCGTGTGCAACTTTTCTACTCGCATGTAATTGGCTTCTTACTACTCTTGTTATGTAATATACTATTTTAATACTATGTTATAACTTTGTTTAATTTATAATTTTTACTTGATTGAATTTTTTACAAAATGCTTTAGCTGCAAACTTTTTGGTTCTATTTTCTATTTAGATAAAGATTGAAAGCAAATCGGTGAAACTCTAGAAACCATATCCAAAGTAAAAATATTTGATTGAATTTAGTCAAAGAATGCAGTATTCCAAAGCGATTGACGTTACAAAGAATTATTGCCGCACAAATGAGTTATTGATACGGGGTGATTCCACGAATTGTTTTAACAATAAAAATGTTGGCTCAAAATTGTTTAGCCCTCCGAGGTACAAGTGACAAACTTTTCGATTTCAGTAATGGTAATTTCTTACAAATTATTCAATTACTTGCTCAGTTTGATCCAGTAGCAGAGTGCTCAATAAAAGGAAATTGAAATCCACTACCTCGGAAAAGATATTGAAAATAAAATAAATTTTCTTTTAAGTGAGAATATCTCTCATTATTAACGAGATTAAAAATTAAAGATGGAAAAAGAAAAATAACAGGTCCTTTATATCTCACAAAAATTTGTATTTAAACGGCGACCAGTTTCGAAGTCTGATCACATCATCATCAGGCACACCTAGTGGATAAGAGAAAAGGTGAATTGGTTAATTTTAAATTGTTAACAAGATTAAAAACATGGAATATTGATTTAATTTAAGTGACATTAACTAATGTACTAATATCACTAACATTTATTTATTCATACTAACCAAAAATTAATCAAATTAATGTACTAACTGAATTCTATACATAAGATTTTTATTAGGATTAAGGATAAAATTGACATCTTAGACTTATTCGGTATCTAAAAATTAAACTGTAACACTTGCAACTATTTCTACGCAGGTAGGACTTTTCGTAATTTCAAAATACGACTGAAAGAGCACACTAGATGTATGAACCAAAACCATACTGATTTTTCTCATTTTGCCATAGACGCAGGCAGGGGCGGTTTCTCCATTGGTTCATTTGGTTACAGTTACAGTTACATTTTATAACACATTATTTTAAAATAAATAACATAAAAATATTAATTCAATTTTAATAATTTTATTGTTCTCATACGTGTTAATATCTATTTTTGGGTACGCCACTGCGCTCTGGCTAATCGCGCTTCCGTGGCGCTCTTTTATAAGTGAGTTCGAAGAAGCGAGAAGCGTTTCTGAAAGTCTTTAGCTAAAAAGAGATGTCGCACGTTAACAGTTTCCTGAAACGTAGTGAAACAATCATAAAATCACTTAAATCAGCTTAATTTGCGCAACGCACACAGTGACGTCACAAAGTAGGGCGGAGTATACGAACTTTTTAATTATTGATATAAAATAAGAGGAGATGCCATGCTGATACTAAAAGTGTCCGCAGAGTTTTACGTCATATGTCAAACTCGAGTAAGTGCAGCTAGTCAGTATTAGTGAAAATAAATACCATTTTTTTTTAAATAGCATGACTTAAATGATATAAAAACATTTTCATTCAGTCAATCTTCAAATATAAAATTATTAATGTCAAATTAATCAAAATATGACTAAAAGTGCGTTCCCTTGTTTATCGCAAAATAGTTTATTTCCTCTCTACAATATTTTATCTCGATGTTTCCAATCAAGCTGTCAAATTTTAAAATTCACCATAAGTCAATTTTAATTGTGTTTATTTAAAAACCATGTTTAAATAAAACTGCGAATTTAATAAATCGAAAGTATGTGTGTCAATTCAATGATTGTTAACGAATCACTTCTCCAAACTCTAGGTAAAACATTTACTATTTGATGACTGAGTTGCATCAAGAAATAGGCTCTTATTGCAATGATATAAACTACTTAACTTTAAACAGATCTAAGATTGCAGTTGCCAGCCAAGAAAAATCATTTTACATTGTACCAGTAGGTATCTCACAAGTATGACAATTTTATTATATATTGTTGATAGTGTAAGCTTTCTACTAGTCTGTACTATATGTACTATAAATACTATATGTATAATTTTATCTAGTTAACACTCTGATGTCAGTATAATTTTTATTGTATGTCATTAATACACATTTATAATTTAAAGGAGTTTACTTTATTTAAAAGCCTCATTGACAGGTTATGGGCCCAGGCATAGATACACGTTAAAAGTTTTAAACGTTTTTTTCTGAGGCTAAAGTACTTATCGAGTTCAAGATGAGTGTTACTTCTGAGGATAACTTCGATGCTACACCCAATGCTACACCAGTTTATATGGGACCTGGCATAGAAAAATTGGAAAGTCATAAAAATTATGATAATTGGAAGTTCCAAATTAAAATGGTCCTAATTGATTATGGTCTCTGGAAGTGTGTTCTTGGCCAGGATCATGATGCTGAGAAAGATCAGAGGGCACTTGCAAAAATCAGTCTTTCTGTAAAGCCCGTTTGTGTTAGTCATATCCGTGAAGCTAAATCTTCAAAAGACGCCTGGGATAATTTGGAAAAGGCATTCCAAAGTGCTGGTTTAAGCAGACAATTATTTTTAAAGAGAAAACTTTATCGAACTCGGTTTGAAGAGTATGTTTCCATGAACGAATATGTTAGTGGTGTGTTATCACTGGTTCACAAATTAGCGGACATAAAAGTTACTATGAACGATTCTGAAGTAGGTATGCTGCTTTTAAATGGACTTCCAGACTCTTATGAAACTTTGCTTAGTGGCTATGGAGCTACTCATACCACAATTACGAGTGAAGATGTTATTAAAACTCTTTTAGAAGAGGATGCTCGCCGTGGTTTAAGAGAAGAGTCTTCATCTGATTCGGCGTTAATTGCCAAGAATAAAAATATGACTTCTAATATCAAAAATACTATTGTATGCCATGAATGTGGAATAGAGGGTCATATTCGTCCAAAATGTTC